CGTGACCCGAATTCCAATTCAGTGCATAGTTACTGCAGATATGTTTATATTTTTTAGTCCATTAATTTTCTTCATTTATTCCCTATCTTCTTTATTTTTATCTACCCCACAATAAATACATATATACATACATACATATGTACATGTCTTATCGAAATTATTTTTCAATTGCTGCCGATATTGAACTATTGAACTGGTCGATAACTATCATTTGTCACATTTATTAATTATCATCGATATTTTGTTCAAACACTTTTCTGTTTCATTCCCACAATCCTTGACTATTTTGTCAGCTTTGGCTTGCTTCAGCTTCATTTTATACAGAGACTGCTTTCAAACGTGCCTCAAATCGAAATATTTTTAGACTTTTCTAACATTTTTACTGATATTCACGATTTACATAGAATATGGCTGGTCTAGTGGCAAAAACCAAAGCTTTAATAACCAGTAAGTTGTCTAAGTATTTTCAATATAAGGAGTGTTATGCATATTTAATTCAATTGCAGCCGCTAAGGCTCAGGCTCGTCCGATGTTTGATGAGTTCATGCGCTATGCCAAGGTGGAACTGGCGCCGCCGACTCCCGCAGATTTCAAAGAGCTGCGCGGCGCAGCCGAGAAGGCCAAGAAGGCTAAAGGAGGCCTGGGCAAGAAGACCGTCTCTGAAGCCTGGCTAGGCGCTTTGGTCTCTTTCGAGGTGATCAGCTGGTTCTTCATGGGCGAAGTCATTGGACGTCGTCACTTTGTTGGCTACAAAGTCTAAGAGAGATGAAACTACAGCAAGCCATCGTATTCCATTAATTTGATACACTCCACACATATATATTTCAATTGTCTCAAGCATTGAATAAAACTGCAGCATTCACGGATCATAGGTTCCTCCATTTACTGTGACTAAAGGCCACACCTCGCATTCCATAATGCAAATCGCAGCTGTTGTGGCATTGATCTTGGACACGGCTGCTCAAATGCTACGTGACGTGCAGCCCGCAGGAGGCGTTCAAGCATCGAGGCGTTTGACCAGCTGCTCTGGCATAAATCAGACTGACACCGGCGCAATTGCATAATTCCAAACAATGCACATGTCGCACACACAGCAATAGCAGAAACAACAACACTCACAGTGTTTGGCCCAATTTTTATGGCATTTGAATGGCTCTTGCCCTGCCCCAAAACAAGTGCCGCTTGACGCAATCTCGAGCCTCGATTGCATCATGCACAAAGTCCTTATCAACAAATATTTCAGTTTTCTAACAGTGTAACGCCCACTTATGGTACGAGCCGCAGATAAATGCGAATTCCGCATTAAATTCGTATAAACTAATTATGGCCCCATTCTCTGGGGTCTGGCGTCAGGCGTCTGGGCTCTTACACTGGCTCTGGCACGGGCACTGGCTCTAGCTTTGGCTCTAGCCTGTACAACAATGCTCTAGCCACGCTTCAATTCAATTTAGGAACCTGATCAACGATTTTCTTGTTGTTGTTGTTGTCATTTTTGTAGCCTGCAACATATTTGGCAACAGTGCAAAATTTGCTGCCTGGTTGACTGCAACGCCTTCTACACCCACGCCCCCTAAACACCTAACCTAGACTAAACATGCTACTCATTATTTCATTTAGTTTGTGATTTTTTGTTGCTTTTTTTTTCTTTTTGTCATACTCTACTCATGCGCAAATGATTAATCGAAGTATATTTGTGCGTGGTTTCACAGAGACTAATTATTAATAATCATTTATATACCCTGATCCCGTTGTTTTATAATTATTATTTCTTCAACTTTTGTAAAATCTAAGCAATATTTGAACAATTTTAATGAACATTAACTTTTAACTATCTTAAGTTAAGGTACCTATATTATTTATTTATGTATAATATACATTATATATTATACAATGGCATTGAAACTGATTGGAATTCTATGATACAATGATGTAGCATAAAAAATATAACATAATTATATAAGCTTAATCAGTAATTTCTGAGAACACAATTTCATCAACTGAATAATTTTTACTTAGCAATTTCTTTAGAAATTTCCATACATATTTAAAAAATAATACTTTTTTATTAAGCAGAACTATTTCACTGGAATTTAATTTCAAATCATACTTTATATCAGCATGATTTATATTATTTTAATGATCCATGTGGGCACATAGAATAACCACTAAACATTGCCTTTAACGATTGTTTTTATTAATTCAGCTCAATTCAAAATTGATTTACTTCTAAATGAAAATGTAAGTATGAGTTGTAGGCCGCATATACTCGATAGGTTGTGTCTTTCTATTAGTTTTATTATTTACAAATAATTGAATTAAAAAACTAACATTCGACTTGATTAATGGAATTCAAGTGGGTGGCCTCCGAAAACTTTAAAACTGGCGAGCCTATTGCAGCAATTGTTGTTCAATTTGAAGTAAATATATGTATATAT